TGTCAACGCACCATCTGCCCCAATGGGTCTTCCTTGATAACTCGAGGACCTCCTTCATCATGGTGTTGAGAGGGGATCGTGAACTTCGTCATCCCATCCAGTGGTGACGTCAGATGCTCTCCGCTTGATAAACGCCACCGCAACACGCAGCCAGCCACCTACAGGAAGGTGTCCAACTAACTTGCCGCACAAGGAAAATATGCTTCGCCACGTGACAACGGAGGGCATGTCTGGGAGTTCGTTTCCCCTTTCCAATACAGGACGTTATCTTCTCCCCAGACCTGCAAACCAAGCACCCGCGCACCATCCTGTAGTCTCCCGGTTCCTTGCTGAGGAGGCCAAAGTTGTAGAGATGTCCTTCACGCGATGCAGATAAAACTCCCTCGCTCACGCACACGTCATCAATATATGCAGATGTTGCCCGCTGTATGCGCTCATCCTTCGTTAGAATGGCGTCAACAATCATCTGCATAATCGATGGCGCAACATTGAGTCCAAACCCCATGCGGGTCAGGCAATACCGTTGCCCCTTGATAAGCACGGTTTGATAGGGCCACAGTGATTGGTGCATGGGCACTTGAAGGTATGCCTTCCAAGATCCAGCACAGATACATTTGATCCTGCTTGTCGCCATTCCTTAACTTCCGGTACACACGTTCTCGCATCTGGCAGTAAAGGGTCCACGTGCTCGTTCAGTTCTCGGTAATCGAGCACCGGCCTCACCTTTGTTTGTTGTGCTGGAGAACCGCCATTAAGCGGGATCAGGCCCTTTGGGGGCCCCAATTCCTTCTCTGGATAAGGAACCAACCACCCGTTATTAATCCAGGCTCGCAATTCCTTGTATTTTCCGCAATTGCTCGCGGGGATCTTATACTCCCGCACACTGTTGTACAGCTTCTCTGGCGGTTGATCGTCTGACCATTTCAAGATGGCGTCCAGGACTTTGTCGCTGGTTCAACTCCATCACGAAAGTCAGGCCGTTCCAGCTCCATTGCTGCACTTAGAGCCAGACCTGTTTCAGTGAAACAGCGCCCGACCCTCTTTTCAACGCGATACACCACCCAATTTTTTTGATGACGTCCATTCCCAGGAATAGATCATTAGGCCGAGCAGCCCTCCGTCCACGACCAGGGCTTTTACAAATACTGCAGGCCCATCGCCCGATGCTTATTCCGTACGCCACTCCACAAGAGGTTAGCGAGCCCCCGCCAACAGTCAGAACTGGAATATTTTTCTTGTCCCACATGTCACAACATGCCTTGCGCACAAGAGGTTAAGGTGCACCGGTTGTCAACAAGTTTCCTAAGCGCCACACCCGAGAATCCAGCGACGCTCACTTCCGTCGGGTAGCGCCTTGTTCAGCGGCGATCTGGGGAGAAGGTTGGCGCTGTAACATTATTCCCCTTGCCCGTTTCCCGGACAGCTTCTTGCTTTAGTGGGCCCAAGCTTGTCGCTGTCACTAGCAACGTTTGTACGTCTCCGTGTTCCTCGGTTACACAGTATCCGACACACACGTCGGCAGTCTTTGGAGAAGGGTTCAGTCCGCCACACGTTATAGCACCTATGTCATCCAGTTGGCGTCGCGGGTGCTTCCACGGCTGCTGAGGCCTGCTGTCTCAGGGAATCTTTTAGAATATTCCGGGCTCTGGCCAGTAATCTGCCCTAGCCCCAGCTCATTGAGCCTGACGATGCTCAGCAGTCGAGGGTTGTCTGGAGTCCTGCCAGAAAGGGCATCCTAGGATTTGGTCGCTTGCTCCATTCGAACGGTGCGGCCAGCTTCCTCAAATCGGCCAGAAAGACATCTACTGTTTCATCCGTCCAAGCCGTGGCGTAAACTGCCTCCAGGCGACAAAGGGTCTAGCTGCGGATAACCAAGTTTATTTCCTCCAAGTCTGAATCATCCCTTCTTTAACACAGCGTAAGCTCCTTTGGTGAGTCTAAGAGGGATAACCAGTGCGGGATCTTTAATTTTTCCCCACCCGTTCGGCCTTTTCCCCACCACTCAGAGACCCAGCGGGGAGCCGTCGAACTCTGGTATTAACTTCAAGTCGAATCTGTCCATGCTGTAATAATTGCCGAAATAGCTTGTAGCAAATGAGTCGACTTAAACAGTGTAAGGGGCGCAACTCTTTCCGTCTGAAAATGTCTGCAAAATGCAAAAAAACGATGTACACCAAAAGCACGGGTGAAATGTTGGTCTGCCAATGTCTCCAAAGCAACCCGCTTTTATGGAGCCCAGACACACCTCATTAGCATGTGTGTAACGCGACTTTTTTGACTGCACGAGACCGTGAATATTAAAAAGTCACGGACGCCATTTTGAATCTTTTCTTTCCTTTCTCAACCCACAGGCCAGGAAGATGCGAGAACGTTTGCGAGGTAGGCCGTTTCTATTTTCCCCACAATACCAATAGAAGATAACTTCAAAGAAGTAACCACGATAAATACGCCAATAGGGTTACTAAGATGGAAAAGGATGCCATATGGAATGAAAACCGCAAGCGCCATATTTCAAAGGGCCATCGAACAGGTTTTAGAAAATATGAAAAATATGATTTGTTACCAAGACGATATATGCATAGGAGCTACTAATGAAAATGAATTAAAAAAGAAAACCAACATAATCTTGAATAGATTAAGAAATGCTGGAATGACAATAAATGAGAAAAAATGCGTAAGCAATTGTAGTAAAATATCTTTTTTAAGGTTATTCCATTTCAAAAGAAGGTATATCACCAGACCAAGCCTTGATAGAAAAAATACTAAAAGTAGCTACACCTACAAATAAAAAAGAACTGGGGTCTTTTTTGGGATTGGTGAATTTTTACAGGCAATATTTACCAAAATACACGGACTTGACTGAACTGTTTGCAAATTTAAGAAAAAAGAATGTTGAATTTATTTGGTCAGAGGAACAACAAAAAGCTTTTGATAGAATAAAAGTAATTATGGCAAAGAAACCAGTAGTGAAAATGTTTGATCCAAAAAAGAACATTGTTAACCACAGATGCAAGCGAACATTCGATATTGGGAATATTATCACAAGAAGGACATCTGATAATGTATTTATCAAGACGACTAACAAACAGCGAATTTAATTATTCAAATATAGAGAAAGAAGCATTGGCTATTGTGTGGACAACTACTAGAGCCCGACAATTTTTAATTGGAAAAAAATTTCTGTTAAGAAGTGATCATAGATCATTAGAGTTTATATTTAACCCAAGGAAAGAATTACCCAAAGTCACAACATCGAGGATACTAAGATGGGCAATAAGATTAATGGCATTTGACTTTGATATAGAATATGTCAAAGGAAATTCAATTCCACACATAGATGCACTATCAATTTGCGATTTTACAAGGAGTCAAAAGTAGGATAATATCGAGAATAAGAAAAAACTCATGAGGAAATTGATCTAGGGCAGAAAGACCCTACAAAGAAATAAGACAGAAATTAACGATAGAACATGGAGTGATTTGTAATGGGGATCTGGTAGTTCCCCCAGAAACACAAAGAAAATTGGTAATAAAAAGTGTACATGATGATATACACTGTAGAGTAGCGGCCACACAAAAAGGATAAAATTAGAAGCATGGTGGCTGGGATATTCAAAAGATGTCGAAGAATATATAAAAAGATGCAAAAAATGTAAAGAATTAAGAAACTTTACACAGACTACTTTACATTCGTGGTCCAGAGAAGTGGAGCCATGGAGTCATGTACATATGGATCATGCGTATATTACTGGAGTGGGACACTTATTAATTCTAGTAGACTCTTTTTCAGGCTGGCCCTAAATAATCCGGGTGCCAGACTACGATAAAACAGATTCTAAGGGTCATATTTTCCAGAAACGGCATACCAAAAACCCTGGTATGTGACAACGCACCAGAATTTTGTGATGAAGATCTTAATTTATGGTTAGAAAAAATAGGATGTAAACCGTATAAGACACCCCCATATCACCCTCACGGGTTAGCGGAAAGAATGGTGCAGACCGTAAAAACGGGACTAAAAGCATGCTCTCAGCAAAAAGAAAAAGTAGAAGTTTTTCTACTGAGGCTGCTTTTAAGCTATTGCACAATACCACATGCTGGAAGACTAGAAAGCCCATCAGCTTTAATGAAAAGACAAATTAGAGCTCTGCTAACGATGTCGTATTCCACAAATGAAAAAATGTGGTACAAAAATAACAAAGCAAATCCAGAAAGGGCAGAATTTATCATGCAAAAAGGCCACAATGCAGCTATAATAAATAGAGAAAACGGCAACAGTGTATTAGCCCATGCAGATCAAATAAGGACCCAGGGTGAATATGAAGAGCAAAATGAAGAAATGTCTACGATTCTGTCCATTAATGATTTATTAGAACAACCATTACAGAATGAAACATCGGAAAACGAAATAATACAGGATCAAGTGGGCCAGAAGGAGTTTGAATGATTACAGCTTAGCGCAGGACAGATCTAGGTCTCCCAGAAAAAGAAATACGGGAGAGAGAGAAGTAGAGCAAAGTAATGAAACTATCACGAGAAGAAGTACAAGAACTACTAGAGGTATAAAACCTATACGTTTCAGGGAGATGTAGTGACACTGGCAAATTAATATGCCTAATTTGCATAAGTGCAAGAGAAAGCCTATATAACTTGTCACTGAGAATAACATGGGACAAAGACTTCACATCAAGTTTCAAATTGAAAATTTAAAGTTATAAAATAAACTCAGTTTTTCTATGATACAATTTTTTTAAATCAAAAAGAGATACATCTCTGCAGGCTAGTTCTATTCCAACTAGGTAAGCAATAAATATGAAAGAAGAGTTTACTCACTAGAAGAAGTTTACTCACTAGAAGAATATAAAAGACTACATGTCATAGGTTGACACAGTGTTGGTCCTAATCCTGCACAACAAAACTTAAGAGGTATAAGAGTGGCTTACAGATAATGAAGACAGATTAGAACAAATCAAAACAAGTCATATATAGAATAATATCACAAACCTCTTTTAAAGTCTGTCCAATTACTTGAGGATGCTTTTTTGTGAAATATGAGGAAAGGAAAACAATTGCTCTCTGTGCTCTTTCTGCTGTATCAGGTTTCTGGTGGAGGTAAAAAAAAAATTATATTCACAACAGGAGAAAGAAAATACAAACAGTAAAAATTTAAATACAATGTCAATTGTCATCTGTCTCCTTGAATCCTGTTCTTTTTATTGTCCTTTCTCCTCAGTCACATTTTCTTAGTTTATGTTAACTCTATTGTCTTTCATTCTTAGTAGTTTTATCACACTACTTGGGGTGAAATGATTTAAGGAAAAAAAACAATAAAGTTAAACAAAATATACTTATTTAAGTTATTTAAATTTAATAAAGAGAATGGCTGATTCAGTTGGACATTTTCATAACCTGCAGACCATTTGTACAACATAACAGACCTCTGTTCTCCATGGCATCTTATAGAGCAAGGAGGATTATTTGGTGATGTACAGTGGGCTGCCAAGCAGACATGTGGATTTTTTACAACTTTTTCAAAATGATTTGAGACCTGGAAAAAAATTTGGAAAGTTCATTCTCTAATGTGTCCAAAAATGATCTCATTTGTCTTCTAACTCCAAATACTTTCCAAGATACAGCCATTTCAAGTTCGTTAATTCCGGATTTTAATATAAAAGGATTTTATGTTTGGAAAATTGTGGCCTAAGTAAAGATTTGGCCAGTAATTTGCTAAAATGTCTCCAATATCTCCATTTTAAGGCTGTTATGTCATGTATATTGCTAAGTAAGCATTCGACCTCTGTTCTAGTTGTTGTCCATTTATCATATGAGCTACCTGCTCATATGCAAACTATACTAATTTGCATATCACTACATCTCCCTATAACGGAGGGGCCTTATGCACATGAGTACTTCTTGTACTTCTTCTTGTGCCCTCCTGAACATCTTCCTTTATCTCTCTCCTTTCCCTTGGAGATCTAGATCTATCACGTCTTTCCCTATACTCGAACTGTTCCTCTTGCATACTGTGGTCTTCCTCTTCTAACTTGTCCCATTCTACTTCTTCCTCTCCTAACTCATCACTCTCTACTTCTTCCTCCGCAGTTTCATTCTGCATTAACTCTTCTGTTACGTCAATAATGGGCATCTCTGAAGGCATTTCATCATCCGATTCTTCTCCTTGGGATCTTATTTGGTCAGCATGAGCTAGAATACTGTTCCCATTTTCTTTATTTAATATTGCAGTATTATGTCCTTTCTGCATAATAAATTCGGCTGACTCGGGTTGCATATTCCTGTTTCTTTTGTACCACATCTTTTGATTTGTGGCATATGACATAGTCAAAGGGGACCTTAATTGTCTGCCCATTAAGGCAGATGGACTTTCTGGCCTGCCTGCATGTGGAATTGTTCTATAACTTAATACTAGTCTTGGTAGAAAAGCATCGACTTCCTCCTTCTGTTGCAAGCATGCTTTTATGCCCTTCTTTACCGTCTGGACCATCCTTTCCGCTATCCCATTACTTTGAGGGTGGTAGGGAGGGGTCTTGTAAGGTCTGCATCCTATTTTTCTTAACCATTCATGCAAATCAGCATCCACAAATTCTGGTGCGTTATCAGTCACCAATGTTCTCGGTGTCCCATTCCTCGAAAATATTACTCTTAATATTTGTTTTACGGTGGTACTTTTTTTATCAGGTACTCTCACCACTTCAGGCCAACCTGAATATGCGTCTACTAATATTAATAATAGTCCTATCCCATTGACATAGGCATGGTCCATGTGTACTCTGCTCCATGGTTCTACTTCTCGGGCCATACATGCATTTTCTTTTTTGCTTAAAATTCCTAAGTTCTGTGCATTTTTTGCATCTTCTTACGTAGTCTTCTACATCTCTTGAGTACCCTGGCCACCAAGCTTCCAATTTTAATCTTCTTTGCGTAGCTGCCACTCCACAATGTACGTCATCGTGTACACTTTTTATAACCTGTCTCCTCTGTATTTCTGGGGGAACTACCAAGTCTCCCTTACATATTATCCCGTTTTCTATAGTCATTCTATGTCTAATTTCTTTGAATGGTCTTTCAGCCATTGAACAATTTCCCCAGCGATTCCGTTTTATCCTCGACATTATTCTATTTAACACTGGGTCATTTGTAGTTTCAGTAGCCATTTTATCTACAGATATTACATCGGTTTCTACAAGGTGCAAGAATGTGTCTTCAAATTCCTCGTCATTTTTGTCCTTCTCCTCTCTATAAAACCTCAATCTAGATAAGGCATCAACGTGCGGTATCGTATTCCCTTTAACATATTCAATGTCAAAGTCGAATGCCATCAGTCTAATCGCCCAATGTAATATTCTGGACGTTGTAACTTTCGGTAGCTCTTTTCTTGGGTTGAAAATAAATTCCAGTGGTCTGTGATCACTTTTCAACAAGAATTTTTTTCCCATCAAAAACTGTCTTGCTCTATCCGTTGTCCACACTATGGCTAGTGCCTCCCTTTCTATATTCGAATAATTGTGTTTAGTTGTTGTTAATCTCCTCGATAAGTACATTATGGGATGCCCATCTTGTGACAAAATACCAGATATGGACTGCTCACTAGTGTCAGTAGTTAGAGTTATGTCCTTCTTAGGGTCAAAAATTTGTACTATTGGCTTTTTTGCCAGAATCTGTTTTAAGTTTTCAAAGGCTTTCTGTTGGTGTTCTAACCAAATGAATTCCACATTTTTTTTTCTTAACTTAGCAAATGGTTCTGTCAACTCATTATATTTTGGTACATATTTTTCTATAAAAATTTACCAAACCTAAGAAGGACTCCAACTCTTTTTTTTTTTGGTGTAGCAACTTTTAGAATTTTCTCTATTAGTACTTTATCTGGAGAGATCCTTCCTTTGATATTGAGTAACCCAAAATGATATTTCATTACTGTTGGTTACACATTTTTTGTATTTATTGTCATACCAGCGTCTCTTAGCTGGTTCAGTATATTTTCAGTTTTTTTCTTTAAATCATCTTCATTTAAATCTCCAACACATATATCGTCTTGATAACAGATGGTATTTTCAACATTTCCTATTACTTTTTCAATAGCTTTTTGAAAAATTGCACTTGCCGTTTTTATGCCATACGGCATTCTTTTCCACCATAACAGGCCTATAGGTGTGTTTATGGTCGTCACTTCTTTAAAATTTTCATTTATTGGTATTTGGTGGTAAGCTGATTTTAGGTCTATCTTCGAAAATACTTTCATTCCAGCAAGTTTATGTAAAGCTACTTCCACATTTGGAATAAGGTACGAGTCAGCACAAACTTTATGGTTCACCCCTATTTTATAATCTCCACAAATTCTCAGGTCACCATCTTTTTTTTTCAATACCACAATGGGTGATGCCCATTTACTTCCTCCTGGAGGGGCAGGTTCTAATAAGTCTTCCTTTATTAGCTTTCGCAATTTAGCTATTACCAACGGTAATAAATGCACTGGTATTTTTCTTGCTTCGTAGTAGGAGGGGGAAACATTTTCTTTTAATTTCAAGCTAGCTTCATAATTTTTTAATTTTCCTGTTTTTTCTATTTCTATCTCATTAATCAACTTGAATTTATTTTTAACATGTCATTCCCCAATAGTCCATGCATTTTTCGGCAATTTGTAACTATAATGGGTACTATTTCATATTTTCTTTTTAGTTCTATTGAACCTTCAAAGTAACCCATAACTGCTATAATCGAGCCATCAAACTGACGTAATTCTACGTTGGTTTTTTTTAAAAACGGTTTTCCCATTTTTTCCCACAAATTTCTGGGTAATATCGTGACCTCACTACCTGTGTCGATTTGCATTTCGACAATACAGTCATTGATTTTCACTTTTATTTTTGTATCTCCATTCTTAGATCCAGTATTTTTTACATTAAAAATCTGTCCATTTTCATCCTCTACTCTTTCCACATTTTTCGTTTTACATACTTCTTTGAAGTGATTTTTTTTTTAAACACTTTGAACACGTCTTTCCAAAGGCTGGGCATTTTTCTTTTTTCATTTCATGAATTTTTCCACAGTACGCACAATTTTTTCTTTTTGTTTATACCATATATGTTTCAGCCATTATTTCTTTGTAGGATTTATTTTTATTTTGGTTGTAGGTATGTATTAATTCCTGCTGTTGTATAAATTCTATACACATATTCAAAGGCATGTTTGTAAGTTGTAACTGTTCCATTAACTTGTATCTATGTGCTGAATTATGCATACCTTCAATTAATCTTAGTTGGATTAATTCTTCTTCCGTTGTCTGCTCTCCTGTTCCTAGTTTTTCGAATTCACAGTATTTACTCGCTCTTCTTAACTGGTGTAAATATTTTACTATCGGTTCATCCACTTCCTGCTTCATTGCCATAAACTTGGTCCTTTTCTTTGGCCTCATGTTTCCCTCAATAACCTGACTTATTTCTTCGAAAGTCATTTCTTCTAGTTCTCGAGGGTAAACCATTGTAGCAACCTTCATAATCGCTTCACAACCAGCTGTAGCCATGAACAAGTCGGTGATTTCATTTTCCCCTCCTCTGTTTTTGTTGTCTTTCAACTTTTTACATCTTGCATTAGCAGAAAAGCAACGAATCCACGTATCTACGTACTCTGGGTCTTCAAGGACCAAAGAGTATCCTATCGGCAATGCCATTGTTATGTCGTGTATATTGCTAAGTAAGCATTCGACCTCTCTTCTAGTTGTTGTCCATTTATCATATAAGCTACCTGCTCATATGCAAATTATACTAATTTGCATATCACTACAAAGGCATTTTGAAGTCTCCAGATACACAAGATTGAAATATCTGCATGGATTAGGGTCATTTCTTCTAGGTTTTAGCGAATTTTGCATAAATTAGACTGGACAATACAAATTTTTGCACAAAAATTTGGTCCAAATTTGGGTCCAGAGGCCTACATTTAAGGAATGATTGCAAAAAAAGCATGGAGATGAATTTTTTTAAGGTTTACAATTTAAAATTCAGAGTTGGCAACCTTTCTGAAAATGTCTGACTGAAAAAAAAAATTACTCTCTGGAATATTACTAAAATCTATTTCATAGAAAATTTTGCTTGTAAAATTTTACCCCTTTCTCAGTATCAAATGGGGGTCTCGGATATACAAAAACATATCTAATTCATCTAATTTTTGGCCAAATGTAATGGCCAAAACCTCTATCTATATGTTTTTGAAGATGCTGAATCCATTTTTAGCACATGAGTTGATATCTGGTCTTCTAGAGCATGAAATCTCCATTTCATAGTATTTTTGCCAGATTTTAGCCCTCAAAACTGGCTTCTGGGGTCCCCTCAATCTCAATAAAAAGTGTACATTCAAGTATTCCTGTCCACAACAGGAAGTTGAGAAACTGAAATGATGAAATGAAGGGCCATTCCTGTTTCATTAGCAAACAGGAAGTCAAATACTTCCTCAGGAGATTGATATTGTTCAGTATTTCTGTGGTGAATTTACAAAGAAGTTTTTGGTGAGTTTTTGTGAAGTAACAAAAACACTGAAGAAAGTTAACTTTGTTCCATGGCGCTCTTAATACAGGCCTACCAGTCATGCAATGGTTTAAGTAAACTTATGTCATACATTTTTGTGCCCAAGTATGATGTCATGAAATTTTATTTCAACTCAGTCATGAAAAGGAAAATTATGCATGTGTCACAGACTGCACCTGTTCATTTTATCCTTTCTTGGAGTAAGCAAAAACACTTGTTCTCCAGACATGTCTATAGTTGATGGTAAGTTGCACAGTCTTGTCACTGGTTTGGGAGGTGCATTTTGCTGTCTATATACATATAGTAAAGAACAATGTAACAATGCTGACTGCATCTCATCTAGTTTCAAAGTTGATCACACTTTGGAACAGAAAATTGCCATTTGCAAAACAGAGATTTATCATCCAGAAAATCATAAAACTGGTGATTACGATGTTTATAAAAGGTGCCACCCAGGATTCTATTTCCACCAATGATATTAACAACATTCATCCTCTACATAATCTATTGAGATGTTTCGGTTTGATCTTTAAAATATGCTATCATGCAACTGCAGTGCATTATTCTTAGTTTGAAGTAAAACTCAATGTATTGAACTGTGTTTCCAGGGCCTTGGAGTTTTTGAAACTGGCAAAAATGCAGATCCAGGCCAAAGTGAAAAAAGAAACATTGATCACTTTGGAGAAACCTGATCCAACAGGTCATGGAGGCACATCTACAACAGGTAACATTGCAAAAGTCATGCTTAGCACCAGCAGTAGGACTTTGTTAACACATGGAATTGATAACACTGAATTAAAGTCCAAAATTGACCAAATTATTCTCAACATTATTTAACTCCAGTAAAAAGGTAAAGGTTGCAGAGTACAAATAATTTTGTCATACCACATCACGTTTTGTCACATCAGTTCCATGGCTAGAGATTAATTCCCATGCTCACATTGTACTTGCTCACAGTCCTGAACTTATTGAAGAGAATAACAACACTGGAATGCTGAATTTTACAGAGTGTGGCATTGAGGCAAACAAGTTTCTGAGGTAGTATCACATCAACTATGCAAGAAAAACTAGCCAGTTTAATAACCTATCAGATTGCATAAACAGATTCTGGGACAAAAGGAACCCCATGGTGTTGAAAGTATGTGAACATTTACAGTGTTCCCATTGCAAAGCAGAAGGTCATACAACACAAAGTTGTAAAGAGTTGAAGGATGCCCTTCATAGATGTAACAATGAATACGAGGTATTGGTGTCCTTCTTTCTTATTGATTTCATTAAGTGTCATATTTATAATGTATTGAAAGAATCTATGCATTTATTCTATGATTCATATTTGGTTAAATATTTCTGTGTATAAATACGATATCATTTGATATCTTACATGGTTTTATTAAGGATTTTGGCTAAATATCCCCAATTTAAGGTTTTGGCTCAGGTATATTTTTGAATATTTCAGTCAAATTTGATTAAGTTGCATTGACTCCCTTCTATACTTCCAATAAGGGCCCAACCATCATCATACCATTATTATATGACTAAAAATGCGTTTTCAGGATTTCAGCCAGATATCCCTAAATTAGAAGGGTTTTGGATCCCAGACCCCAAAATTTGGGGTATTTTCAATAAAATTGATGTGTTGGTATTCCACACCCTCATACACTTACAATGAGCACTCAACCCTCATCATACCTTTATTATTTATCAAGATATGCCTACAAACGTTTTTTCAGGATTTCAGCCCAATATCACTAAGTTGGGGCTTTTGGGTCCCAAAGATTTTGGATTTTTCTTAATCAAATTGATTTCTCTGTATTCCACTACCTCATATGCTTCCAACAAGCACTTAATCACCATAAACAGATGAGAAGTTCCCAAGTTATAGGCAAATGTCCACTTGACCACCAATATGAGCCCATTGTGTGATGCCCATCTTCTCTCTAAACATTGTGTAACATAGTAGTGTTTGGTACCAGCACTAAGAAATAATACATAAACTAAGTGAGCTTTTTTTCTTCATCATAACATGCCAGTAGAAAGATGTTTATCTGACACTAAGTAAGAGAGTAAAAGAGATGAATTCATTTCAGTAAAATAATGTCTGTAAAATAAACAAACTTTGGATTTTCCATCATTCTACTCACCTGCTTGCTTCTTGACTTTAAAACATCTAGTTCCTGCATTACCACCCATGGGATTATGATGTACGGTAAATGACACTCATCTGGGAAAATAACAATGTGCACCAAACTGACCAAACTGGAATTTTTCAAAAGAGTTCAACAACAAAGCTAATTTTTCATATTTACACTAATCCACATGTGCCATATTCTGAATAACTGAATAACAAAATAGAAAAAAGAAAACACATTTTGTCCTTCAAAAGGCCTTGAGACTAAAATAATGTTCTTATTGATGGAATTATATATATATATATATATATATATATATATATATATATATATATAGAGAGAGAGGGGGGGTAAAATATAAACAAAAAGGCTTGACTGCTTATCACCTATAATTCTGAAACAAGTCATCATCATTCTAAGAGTTGTTCAGATTATTGTCGCTTTTGTTGCTATCACAGCTTCAGTCAATCTATTCTAAAACCTTCTTTGGTTGTACACTACATTTAAATTTTTTTCTTTCAATAGTATTTAGTGGGGAACAGGACAAAAATGATGGCTAATATACTGACTGGCTTGGTTCATTCTCAACAATATAAGCCACACAAAAAATGCCTCATGGGATAAAGGTTTGACAAGAGATTGCATTTATAATATCCCATGCAAATATTGAAAAGAATATGATAAAAAAAAAACAGCCATTGTTAAATAATAGTTTAGCAAACTTATTTTTAGAGAGAAGTGTAGTGCTGCTCCAACTTCCTGAGCTTGACCTTTGAGGTTAGATGGAAGACAAAACAAGAAAGTCAATTTTGATTGGCTGAGCCATATGAGAACAATAGATAAAAGGTTTTAGGGGAGTGAATTTTTAACCGTCAAACAATGTAGACATGTTTTCTTTCATGTTTGAAATAGCTCCCCACTAGAGAGAGAGCAAACCCACTAGATAGGTAGAAATGTAGAAATCAACATGATTAATAAAATAGTTAAGTTTAAAATTCCCTGAGTTGAAGTTCTTTTATCTCTGGACCTGAAACAACTAGCAATCACCAGCTGAGAGAAGAAGGCAACGCCATTGCCCAAGAGCTCCCCAGCATGAATACTTAAATACTATCTCCTTAAAGTCAAATTTGTGGAATATATATTGAAGGAAAAAAGGCTGGGGTGGAGAGCTTGGATTATTGTCTATAAGATGAGATTTAAATTAAATTAGAAAGACACTGGTAGAGAGTAAGAAAATTGATGGAAACAGCAATAATTTTAAGATGAGCCATTACCATTCCAAGTATAGTTCACAGGCAATTGATCTCATTTTCTGTTTTGCCTTTACCCCATTTCAGCCAATCCATTTTACAGCCTTCTTCAGGTTTACAATCCATAAGAAAAGGACTAACCAATAAAATCATAAAATTGGAAAAAAAATGGTTAATCAAATATTCCACATTTTTTTTAGAAACCTTCGGCCAGAATAAGCTAAAGTAAACAATTAGAAAAAATGAACACAATCTGGAAGAAAAGAAATCTGATTATTATTTACACATGGACTATTGTCTTCCTGTTGTTATTATCAGATTTTGGTGATTATATCCTTCAACCTTCATTTAGAATTTGTCAATCCAGGTATATTCAAGTAAATTTTGAACTTTTTATTTAATCTACAAAGGTAAATTGGTCTCATTCTACAGACTATGGATATCTTGTTTGGTTTTTATTTAGTACTAGCAGGTAAATCAACTCTTGAGTGGCTTGTAATACATCTATTTATTATCTCTCAGTTGCATCTCTGTCTTTGGGCAGAGTGCACTCAGGGGCGACTCCATCAAAGGACAAAGTCGCAACTGAGGAAAATTATAGTGAGAGATGCCCAGCCCTGATGAACAGGCCACACCCTCTCATTGCACCGACAGTTGCAGGGACTCAGGCAATTTTTGTTCCTAGCCTGGGTGTATACTCTCGGGCTCCCCACATTAAAGTGACCTTGTGTCACAACATGATTTTGTGAGGGGGTTTCGAGTAAATACCAAATTATTATAAAGTAGAGTGAATTTGTGAGAGAATTGAGCTCCAATTTGGCATTTATTCATATAAATTCCATAATGTAAGTTTTACTTAATTAGCTATTAGGTTTCTATACCTCTTCAAATATTAAATGTATAACTAATTCTAATTTCCCATCGTTACACTATATTAATTTTATTTTATAAATTGTCCCGTTCTGTCACCCATGAAATAAAAATAATTGTTTGTATGGAAAATAAGGATCTACATGCATCAAATCATTTTTAAATTAAGTGGCAGCAGAAGAATTATTGTTGAACTTTAAAAGGTAAGCTTAAACATCAATTCAATACTTAAATGCAGCTATCAATTTTGAGTTCTTCTGTAGTTTATTGATGCCTATCACATCTACTCCACCCTAGTCATTGTGATGATGGCCAAACCAAGTGTCCTCAACAGGAGCTAGCTTAAATGCCACCCAATATAGCAGCTTTTAGGCTGGCTTAAAATTTAAAGCTAGCTGCAATTTTGGATACAAAAGGAACATAAGAGTTACTCCATTTGAGCCATGAAAGCAATGATAATGGCTAGTATAATATATTAATATATAAATATGAGCTCAACAAAAATCATTCTCTGCACCTAACTTTTCTAGTGCTTTTGAATGAGCTATGAATCATTGAAATCGAAGCAGAGTTGCTTGGACAGACACACACACACACACTGTACTTTATAAGATTGCTCAGTTATTGTCTGATTAAGCACAAATATAAGAATTTACAATCCACAGAGAGAAATAGAATCATGTAAACTCTGGACAAAATTTATATAAATTTCAAATGTAACTGATTAAAAAGAACTTTTAAAATACCTTTTGCTTAAAATGGTTCAACCAAAATACAAAAAAGTCATTTACCTGTATATTTTCCATCACAGATATATTTTATCACTGCTAAATCACCAGCATTCACTAAGGTATTTGTATCAAGAACCACATATGTTACCTGGAAAAAAAGTTTATTTCTTTCATCCAATTCAAAAAAATAAAAATTCAGAACACAGTCAAGATCAAACTTGCAAAAATCATCTTTCTACTTATTAAAACAAATCCAAAATTTATTTGAAGTACATATGCAAATCAATATACCATTGTATATGTACTTTTACCTGAAAATTTGATATCTATGAATAGTATTATATATATATATATATATATATATATATATATATATATATATATATATATATATATATTAGATATCATAGGTATATATATATATATATATAATATCAGAGGTATAGGTATATATATATATATATATATATATATACATATATAAATAAATTCCCATATATATATAATATATACATAAAAAATCAATGTAAGAGGATAGAATAAGAATAACTAATATAAAGGACAGACAGAATATAATATAAATGGTTAAACATTTATTCCATTAGAATTTATAATCACAATCCAAATCATCAGACCTACAAATTCAAAAAGAAATCAGAACATTTAACTCCAGACCCTGGGTTATATTTTCTGATTTCTTTTTGAATTTGTAGGTCTGATGATTTGATTGTGATTACGATTCTAATGTAATAAATTATAACCATGGAATATTAGAAAAATAGGAAAGAACCATTAGGTTAATAATCCAAAGTTCTTTAGTATTTTTGTTTTTATTTTTTAAAAACAGTGCTCAATACATATGCAGAGCCTAAATTATAATTATTTTTAAAAAATATGATTCCATCATTACATAAGAGTTCTCATGTTTCAAAAACAAAAGCTAAAAAAAAAAAAAAAGCTCTGTTTCATCCTCAAACGAATTTTGGAATAACTGATCTTGAAATTTACAGAGCTTTATAAGCATATACATTCGTAATATTAATTACATGGAAATGGTGAAACCAATTATTGTAAAAAGAGGCATACGGGTGAACATATTGTATCAACATATCAGTTACAATTGTAACTAATATCATCTATTATTACTATTAGTGGAAATTTCCTTATTAATTGAGAAACCTCTCTCCACCGAGGCCTATCCATGAGAGAGTAACAGCAATCTGTAAACAACTTTCCAGTTTTTAATATTCTTTGTTGCTAGACAAAGAAGTATCTGTCTTCTGAGATGAGGTATTATGTACACTATTTAAATTATTCAGACTATAGTCCTCATCTTTACAGATGTCCTCAAGGACACATGGTAAAAGTGGATAAAGGTGTGCGTTAGATCCAGTGACAAGACCCAAGGAGTGTGAGTTCAATACCTGGTTAAGGCGGTGGAGAACTTGGAGAGGGGAATTAACAGGAGATAACTGATAACTGACATCCATTAGACATGGCACATGGAACTAGAACAGTCTACCCCAGTGAGCAAAATAAAGGGTTCCAACTGAAGAAGGCCAGAGCGTACAACAGCCGAAACATTGTAATAAATATGGTGACAAAGATGAGGACAATAGTCCGAATAATGTAAATAGTGTAGACAAAGAAGAGTAGAACAAAGTGTCAAGATGGTCTTCATGCTTGCTGAAATTCTTGAAAGGAATATTTCCAGCAGCCTCCTCCTCCTCAAACTCTTTGTACTGACTAATGATGTCATCACAATCAGACTTGCTGACTTGTTTTCTATCCATCATGTGGCAAAGACATCTTCTTAGACTATCTTCTGTGACAGATTCAGGGTTCAGCCATGCAAGTGAACTTACAAGAGGGTATCTAAGGGGGAAACTTTGCCAGAAGTTTCTCAGTGATAGTGATAAACATTGTCTTTATTGCAATTCTGCATGAAAATAGATCTTTTGTTGACATTTCCTTTTTTGAATAAATTTTGCATAGCCCTATCTGCCAGAAATCTACACTCGATCTTTGTAGCATCTTTATACATGTTTGGGTTTAACAAAATTCTTACATATATATTCAGTTTGGAAAATGTAATTATCTTTTTAGTGTGCTCTTCCTTTACAAATCTTCTTAACAGTTCCATGATCATGTTAAAAAGATCATCTGCAAGGAAAGGAAACAATAGTTTATCACTGATATTAAACAAAATCTGCAATTCCACTGGAAATAAAACATTGTTCATGTTTGACAACACTGCAGAGAACGACTTGGTCAGGGGGACATTTTTCTGCTTTTTTAATTAAGTTCACAAATTTGATGAGATCTGACCAAATATCTAGTTGTTCACATGTTTGTACATTTTCTAGCTATCTATGGCAGAAATACAAATGTAAAAGAACAGGGTTGCCAGATTGAACTTTTAATATAAAGACAAGAAATAAAAGCCAAATAGGTTTTATATATTTTAACATTTTTGCCACACTTACAACAAAAGCTAGAGATACAGGTCATTATTAGCCTGCAAACTTTAAAAAAATAACATTTTTCTTATTTTTTCAAAGACACATTTTCTATCCTAAGATATATTTTCTATTCTATCATCCTTCCCGTCTACATTTTCTTTGAATCAAATTTGATTCTTAGACTTGTTACTTTTGGCAACAATTTAGACAAACGTAGTTTACACATAGATACACATTGACACAATGCACGTGGTGAACATTCCTGCCCCACCTCCTATCATCAAAAATAGACTGTGCCTGTTTATAAATAGTCTTGTTGTACTATTTTATTGTGCAGAATAAAGCCTAATTTGGGTTACACTGTTACGTGTCTTTCATTACAATTTATTCTACATAAATATTTTTCAGCAATGCCATCTCGGTCTCTGAGAAATATGGACAAAATTCTGCAACCTCAGATCATTGAAACTCTCCCCAGTTCAAAGACTGCTGAAAAGGATTGGAGGCACTGGTTTGCCACTTTTGAGAATTTCCTGCAAAGTATAGAACAATATGCCCCCAACCAACGAACTGTGCTCCTAAACTTTATAGGTCATTCAGTGTATGAATTAATTTCTGACTATCCAGGCTACAAGAAAGCCATCAATAGGTCTCAGCAATTGTATGACAAGCCTAAGAATGAAATCTATGCCAGGCATATACTATCGATTCACTGGCAAAAACCAGAAGGAACACTAAACAACTATCTTCTAAATCTGAGACATTTAAGTGAGGATTGCAACTACAAGGCAGACAGTGCTGAAAAACATAGATCTGAGTCCATAAGAGACACCTTCATAAGTGAACTTTTATCCCCCTAATATTCAACAATGACTACTTGAAAATGTAACTCTGGACCTCAACAATGCATTTGACCAAGCCAGACCTCTTGAACAAGTTCAGAAAAGTTCAGAGTCCTACTTTCTCTCACAAACAGTTGTTAGTGCTGCATCCCCCTTTGGGGGTAACTCCCACAGCCCAACAGAAAACATAGTATCCACAGTGGCTTCTAAAACTCAAAAGTGCTTCTTTTGTGGAAACCATAGGCATCCTCCCATAACTGATCAGCTCAGAATGCCACGTGCCAAGGATGTAAGAAAATTGGCCATTTTGCAAAACTATGTCATTCTGGGACATACACCACTCTTCATTCTTCTAATCCTGCGGTGATGGCAGCATTGTTTACGGATTTGTTTGCTGAAACTACCCCAATAAAAAACAGCAGGAGGGTCAGAGCTCTCATGGACACTGGGAGTACTGAGAGCTTCATATGTGAATCGCTGGTTCAAAAGCTTCATCTACCTACCCTACTGAGGAACAATACCGTGCCAATGGCAACGACCTCTGAGCTCTCGGACGTTAGGTTATTGCCTGGTGGAGAGAGAAGAATATTCTGTTTTTTAACTGTCTGTGCTTCCTGATTTGTGTGCTGTTGTCATCCTTGGACAAGACTTTATAGGGCAACATGAGAGTATCTGTGTGAAATTTGGTGGAATGAGGCCCCCTTTAAGTGCATGCGGACTGACACCTTTTTCTATTCCTCCTCCCCGACTCTTTGCTAATTTTGCTGAGAATTGTAAACCAATAGCTATTAAGTCTAGAAAGTACAGTAATCAAGATAAAGAATTCATTACTGCTGAAGTAAATAGACTACTTTCAGAAGGAATTATTGAGCCCAGCACTTCTCCTTGGCGAGTCCAGGTCATAATGACCACTAATAAACAACATAAAAAGAGGATGGTGGCCGATTATTCTCAGACAGTTAACAGATTCACTATGTTGGATGCTTACCCTTTACCTAAGATCAATGAATTTTTAAACAAGGTGGCACAAACAAAATCTTTAGCACTATAAATTTGAAATCCACATACCATCAGGTCCCAATATCTGATAAAGACAAAATTTATACTGCATTTGAAGCAGATGGAAAGTTATATCAATTTTGCAGAACACCATTTGAGTAACGGAGTAGATTGCTTTCAAAGAATAATTGATAAGTTTATAGCTGACAATTCACTCTCCCACACATTTGCCTACTTAGACAATATAACTATCTGTGCTAAGAGCCAGGAAGAGCACAATGAGACCCTCGATAAATTTACGGAAATGGAAATGTTTAAAAAATACAATTTGCAATCATGATAAATGCTCTTTCTCCAATTCTACAGTGAACCTAGTAGGCTACACAATATTGGAGGGTACAATTAAACCAGATCCCGAGAGACTTTGACCACTTAAAGAACTTCACCTTCCTCGCGATATTCATTCTCTTACTATTCCCAATAGATTAGTAAGTATTCTGAAAAAGTTGCCCCCCACTCATACAAGCTAATTGTTTTCCATGACCCAAGACTGCTGAAAAAGCCTTTGAATACCTGAAACCGAAAACACAGTAGTGTATTCTATCAATGAAATGGTTCCTTTCAACATAGAGACCAGTGCTTTATGCCACATGATTGCAGCCTCAATGAACCTTATCAGATAGACACGTACCTTTTTTTTTGCAAGAACATTGAGTAGCAGTGAATGTAAACACTCTTCTATAGAAAAGGAAGCCCAAGCTATTGCAGAGGCCTTACGTAAATGGAAGCACCACTTAACAGGACAACACTTCACTTTTCTTACGGATCAGAGATCAGTGGTATTTATGTTTCATTCAAAACATGCTGGAAAAATAAAGATGATAAAATCTAAAGGCGGAGAGTCGAACTTGCCTGCTACAGTTTCGATATTAAATACCGACCAGGGAGAGATAATGTTACTGCAGATACATTATCCAGAGATTATTGTTCAGCTGTAAGTTTGGACATCCTAGAGAAATTACACAACTCTCTTTGTCACCCCGGTGTTATGCGAATGATGCATTTTGTTAGGATGAAGAACCTTCCTTTCCCTGTGGAGGATGTGAAGAGTGTATCTATTGCTTGCCCTGTATGTACCAAAGGAAAAACTCGATTTTACCGACCCGACTCTCTGCATCTAATAAAAGCAACCATGCCTTTTGAGAGGCTCAGTGTTGACTTCAAAGGACCCCTGCCTGTTTCTATTTACAATAATAGACGAATATTCTCACTTCCCATTTGCCTTTGCTTGTCCTGATATGTCTTCACAGTCATCCGGTGCTTTACCCAATTCTTTGTTATCTTCGGGAGGACACTGTACATGCATTCAGACAGGAGTTTCAGCTTCATGTCAGCTGAGGTGAAATTGTGGAGAATTACCTCATAGGTCCAAGAGGGCTAAAGTAGAGTAGCCTATATGAGCCAGCAAATTGCTAGCAAGGCAGACTCTCCGAGCATCGGCACTAGAATGACGAAGCGCATGCATCAGTGAGTTTTGCATGTTGTTGCGTACTAAACCAAAATTCATTGCAAGCGTGTTTCCAGTGTCTGTGCTACAGAATCCCAGCTTTCCTGTAACAATCTATTTCAGCACCATTACCATGGCAAAGGTGTGCATAAGCAGGGACATGATAAAGCCCCTTACTGGCGAAGGAGATGTAGTAGCGTGGTTGAAAAAGGTGAGGCTTATGGCGAGACTTCAGCTGGTGGATGATGTCGCAAGTCTGCTACCAATGTATCTGGACGACGATGCACAAGCTCTCTACATGGAGATAGATGAAGACTACCAAAGGGATGTAAATAAGACAGATGCCCGGTTGAAGGAGATGTTTACAGCATACAGGAAACTGAGCCTGGTCAGGTGGGCTGGCAAGCAGGTAGACATTTACACAAACAGGATCAGGCAGTTGGCTGGATTGGTTGGGTTCGAGGGAGTTGTGCTGAAAAGGCTCACCAAACCGTGTTCTCCTTGTGTGGGAGGCTTGTCGGGCACCTACCAGTGTGTGAGTGGCTTTGTGTGACTCATGGAGTTATCAAAAGGAGAGCCAGTGCGGTCACGAAGGGCTAGGTTGATGAAGTGAAGGACACTCTTCTCCAGTGTATGATGTTTTAAACCGTGGATGCAATGAAGTGGAACAATCCGGCTCGCAAAGATTGGTGCATGGACAGTCAGGAGCTGAACGTGTTGGTCTACACAAGTTCTTTAGCAATCGGTATAGTGTTGGAAAGGCACGGGATTGTGCTAGAAGACATTTGATGGCTGCGACCTAAAAACGATGCACAACACATAAACCTGGCTGAACTAGACGCCATGTTAAAAGGCATTAACTTGGCTCTCCAATGGCAGAGCAAGGTGCTGCACATAAATACGGACTCTCTCTCTCTCTGTACCACTGGTTATCAGACACTCTTACTGGGAAGGCACAAGTGCATACCAAGGCAGCAAGTGAGATGCTTATCAGAAGCTAGTTGAGTACACTCAAGGAACTAGTAACGGAGTACGAGCTGACTGTGGACATGATGTTAGTTACATCACCTGAGAACATGGCTGACTGACTGACCAAGGTGCCACAGTGGTGCTTTAACGTGATGAATAAAGAAAACAGACCCGGGCCATTGATTGGTGCTGTCTACGTAAATGAGCTGGATGTGAGTCAAATCCTGTGGATCCACAGGAGTAGTGAGCACCCAGGAGTACAGTGCCCCACTCACTTTTTCAGGAGAGTTTGCCCAGCAATAACAAAAGAAGCAGTTAAATTAGCCATGCGGGGGTGCGAAGAATGCCAATCGATAGACCCAACATCAGTTCACTGGAAGAAGAGAAAGCTGAAGGTGAACAAGAATTGGCAGCGGTTAGGAATGGACATAATGCATTTCAGTTCATGCCCTGCGGCCTGTTGCATTTCTCCACTTGGAAGCATTTGTCAAGGCGAGACTCAGCAAGCCTGATTTGGCAGCTGAAGACAGTGTTCTTTGAGCATGGCCCACCATATGAGCTCCTTATGGACAATGACACAGCCTTTTGCAGCAGGGAGTTCAGAAATTTTGTGCAGGAGTGGGAAATAAGCCTGTGATTCTATTGAATGTACACTGCGGCCAGGATGCACTGTTCCATCCAAGAGGTTGTTTACTGGGACAATGTGACCCCCAAAAGATGACCACTCACACTTGACCGCACCAGCCAATGCGATCTACCACTATGAAGTTTGGGTGAGGGGGGTGATGCCATGACGACGCCCTCAGTTCCAGGTCATAGCACTTACGAAGTCGGAGATCACGTGTGGCTCAAGACTCTGCAGAGTCAGTGTACCACAAAATTCAGTAGGGATCAGGTAACAAAGATAATTAGCCTGCAGTCCTGTCTAGTGAACGCAATGCCCCATCACGTGAAAGACATGCACCCACATTGCAGTGTTAGTACCTCAGAGGAAGACTGACAGTACTTTTCAGAAAGTGAATCGGAGAGTCTGTTACATGAAAACAGAAATTCGGAGACGGACAGCTCACCTGGAGAGGAAGCAGAACCACCCTCCCCACCATTGCAAAGAAGCACCTGGCGAAGACGATCACCGCCAAGCTGCTACATTTGTGATGAGGAGATCAGGGGGGAGTGTGGAGAATTACCTTGTAGGTCCAAGAGGGCTAGAATAAAGTAGCCTATATGTGTGAGCAAATTGCTAGCGCGAGACTCTCCAAGCATCAGCGCTAGAATGACAAAGTGCATGTGTCAGCAAGTCAGATCGAGGCTGGCAGTGTGCTCAATATGCAAATTCTCTGGCTCAACAAGAATGTATAAAAAAGGCAAGTTCTTGTTGAGTCAGTAGAAGAAATCCAGCGTAATGCACATCATTGCGTACTAAACCAGAATTCGTTGCGAGGGTGTTTCCAGTGTCTGTGCTACAGAATCCCAGCTTTCCTGCAACAGAAATCCTTTTTGCATGGGCACAAAATCTCAACTAGCCGTACCACTCCTTATAACCCACAAGGTAATGTACAATGTAAGAAGTATAATGGCGCTTTGTGGAAAGCAATAACTCTGGCATTCAAAGCTCAACACCTACCTATAAATCAATGGGAGAATGTTCTGCCAGATGCTTTACATTCAATGCGCACACTGTTTTAAACAGCTACAAACATTAGACCTCATGAACGGCTATTCAACTATCCTCACCGAACCTCCAGTGGCTAAAGGTACTTCTGAGACAACATGCCAGACAATCGAAGTATGACCCTATTGTGGAGGAGGTGGAACTTATAGAAGCCAATCCTCGCTATGCTCACATTCATCTCCAAAACAGTAAAGAAACCACTGTATCACTCTGAGATAAATAAGTTATTTTAAAAATTTTAATAAAACTGGATTCATGCATTCTCTTTTTTACGCTTTTTTCTTGAGAATTAACAAAATATTAAACACTATTTCTTTTATTAGATTGTTCATTTCCAAGAAAAAATTTATAGTTATAAGATTTTAAAAAGTTGTGAAGCAACTGCAATGCAATATTTATTATTTACCATATTATAAAGAAATAACTATCAAAACAATTTATTATTCATAAATTTATAAAAATGCCTGTGAAAAAGGAAATTTAAATAAATACATAACTGTAATTATAAATTTAAAAAAAAATTTTCCAGGCATTTCTTTCATTTGCTCTCACAACATAAATTCACTAGAATAGTTTGTGAGCATCTTGATGTATACTTTGTTTTCTTGAGATCTGACAACAAAAATGTTAAATACTATTTATTAGACTGTATATTTAGAAGAATAGTGTTTAATACATTTGTTGTCAATTCTAATGGTAAAAAGAAATGAGTATGTATAAATCCAACTTCCTGCTTTTCCTTTTGTACTGAAAAACAAAGATAAATGAAACAATTGCTATGATCTTAAAGTATTTTTTGTATCTTGTCTGTTATCTTACTAAAAATATAGCTTTTAAAGGACTAAAAACAAAATAAAATTACCTGAGGTTGTGCTGTATGATCAATTGAATTGGATGTATCCATTTCAAAATGTTTTGTTAAATCACCAGTCACCTACAGATAAACATAAGATGCAAGTTTTAGTAAATATTTCATATGTGTTTATTTTTCATTCAAATTTTAAGAATTGCTATATATAAACCATGTTTCTATCAAAGATTTTTTTTAATTCATGTTTGTATACAAAGAATTTGCATCTGCCCTATCAAAATTCAGTTGTCAATTTGTAATAAACATTGTTGCCATTTGTTATTTCATATTACTACAAATTAAGAAAATGGAGGTAGAAAATATTTTTTTTACAGAATTATCTAAATAAGCCAAAATAATCTATTTACTTAGATTTTCTTAAAACTGTACTGAATTATTTATTATAATTAATATAAATATTAGAAAGCTATTCAAATGTTCCTCTCATGGTCAACTTTATGTAGCTATGTATATTTACATGGCCTCTCCACTAAGGAAGGATGTGACACAAGGTTGTTTTAACGTAGGGAGTGCCATGCACATACATATGCATATGGGCCAAGGACAAAAATCTTTTGCCCAGTTCCTGCAACCACTGTCATGCTAACATCAATATTACACTGAGCCCCACCTCTCTTACTGTCATGAGGAAGGTGCTGCTACAGGGTTGGAATCCCCAGCACTGGGTACCTTCTCCTATCTAAAATAAGAACATTTACTCTACTTGAAGCCAAAAGTTAACTCCTGTACCAGTTCTATGTATATTTACCCGGCCAGGATGGATTTTAACATGAGGAGTGCCACATGCATTCTTATGCATATGGGCCAAGGACAAAAATTGTGGTTTTGCCCAGCCCCCATGGCCACTGTCACACTGGCATCAATATTATACTGACCCAACCTCTCTAGTGCAATGAGGAAGATCCTGCTGCAGGATTGGAATCCCCAGGGCTGAAAAACTTCTCCCATTTTTAGAACTGGTGATGTTAGTTATGATCTTATTTCCTGCAGCATTTGTAGTAATCATTGTTGTCATCTGACATTTCAACAAATTAATCAAGAAGAGCAAAAAAAAAAATTTTTTTTTAACAGAATTATCTAAATAAGTCAAAATCATCTGTTTATTTCAACACAGTTAAGTGCCATACATGGTACATGTTTGTGCGATCATATCTCTTTTGATTCATGAGTGACTAGATAGAAGATTCCTGAAGTAGGCTGTTGTTTATTTCTGCAGCAGACTGCTTGCCAACCAAGGCTATAGAACTCAGTCTATACTGCTATTCAACCATAGCTTTCCCAATAGTATTTGTATGTAAGTGAATGTAACAAACTAGACTGGAATTAAAATTTGACTCTTCAATTTCTCATTATGAGCCATTATCCAATACACCAGACTATGCATCTTATGTTTAATTAGATTTTCTTAAAATTGAACCAAATTTTTAAACAAGTGAAAAAGAGTTAAAATAGTTAAAAGTTAAATGAACTAATTTTTATTATTAATGTTATTCCATTTTTTTTTTTGCTCATGATCAGCTCTAAGTCTAAAGTCAGAAATTCATAATGACAAAAGCAACTTTAAAAAAATAGATATCTTGCTGTAAATGTCTATACAAAAATTTTATCGAGGTAAGAGAACTATTAGAACTTACTTTTCTATCTATAGAATGAATATTGTGCTAGTTCTCTAAATGTACTATAGAAACTTTGGCATCTTCTTACTATGTATGTTTTAATATTTGAAGTTTCATAAGATATTTAATCAGTAGATGAATAAAAGTTGACAGAAATGTTTAATAAATCCTATTAATATCACAGTAAGAAACAAACATACCGTGTTAAAACGTTCACTACTCATATCTTTCCGCAATTTTACAATCTGAAAGAGAAAACATTTGATTACATGAGATAAGGCCTTTATACTTTCATTTATACAGTCAGTGTTAGAGAATAGAACAAGCAAATCAAAGGGTATAGCTGTAGTGAACAAATTCAACAAGATGATTTCTCTTCAGTACTTTTATTCATATAACCATTTACTTAACTGTATCCAATAATAATGCATGTTAATATTCACATATTAATATTGTATTATAAAATACAAACATAGCGAATATGCATCTTTTCCATTGTTTACATTTATAAGATGTTTATGGCTGTACATTTATGCAACAAGCATAGTGTTACTAACAATACTTTTATCATTCTCTTGTACTTTTTTTTAACATATTTAACTAGAAGATGGGATAAGGAGACAGAAGAGATTAGTCTATTGTAAATTGGTCTCTCAAAAAAGGAACTCACATGATAAAATCATTTTTTATAAGAAAAAATTTGGAGGTCACACAACATACAAGATCGCATGTTACAAGTATCTACAGTAAATGCAATTTTATCACATATCCATTAATGTGAATCTTATATCTTGTCCAAATTAGTGAGATCCCAATTTGAACATATCAAATTTTTTAAATTAATATATTTTGTTATTCATTTCCAGTTTAGTCTTTTTCATAAACTTTTATGAATAAGCAAATTATTGCTGATGGATTTTTTAATTGCGTCTTTATTCAAATAAAGCCATTTTCTACCAAGAAAATGGTAACCACCTCAGTATTTAGATCACAGCCCATGAATAAGGAAATAAGCAAATTCATTAAAGCAAAAACCACTAATTCAGTAAGATGTAAGAAATATGCTGGTCAATATAAATAATAAAACCATGTTTTCAAGCCATCAAGCAGAAATACACACAACGTTTGTGTAAAGCACAGTGTTTCTCAACCTTTTCTTTGATGTGGCCCATTTTTGATATCAAAAACATTTCAGGCCCACATAAACACAAATAGAAATTCGAAGTAATAGGAAATACATTTTATTTACAAAAGCAAAATAGAAAATATAAACTTGGACTAATGACTACACTGCTCCTGGTGTCTATCAGCTTGAGGTTTAAGTCTCCTCTCTTTTCAATCTACAATAAATTTTCCTTGGGCCAACTCCAGGCCCATTTTTGGGGCATACTTGTGGGTTTGATGGCCCACACTGAGAATCACTGCTTAAGATAAAGTAGTGTCACTTATTAATAAAAAGTCTGGGAAGTTGAGACAAAAAAGCAAATGAAATTAATATGAAAAAAATACTACGTAAAAATTAATAAAAACTGACAAGGTATCATCTTATAACAAATTCAAGAAAATACTGTTTTCAATATTTAGAATTTTCTTAGGATTTTTAGCATTTGCAGTTGCTATCAATATTAAATACCAACCTAAAAATCAGTAGAGAACTTCTGAAAAAAAAAAAAAAAAACTTACATAGTTAACCATGTCACTGCCAAAAGTGTTATCAACTTCCATGGGTTGACTGGAATCTGAAAAAAAAATAAAAATAAAAATTACATACAATGCACTGACCATCTCAGAGATGCTTTTATCAAAACTAGCATTCACTATTATTTATTTATAAGGATACTTTTTCCCATCATATGGTGGTGTTTTAATCTTTATCACTCTGTATGTAACTTTATTTGCTGTACAAAAAGTTTATCCTACCACTGAATGTGACTGATCCTTGAATTTAAATTTGTTTGAATTTCATAGAAGTGTCGTCATATCCTGCTATGGCAACAGGAAACACCTTTGAGTGTAATTGACAATAAGACTACTGCAATTGAGAGGCCTTGAAAAAGAATGCAATATTAATAAGGCAGAATGATAAAGGTTAATGTGATAGATCTAGCCCATGTACCCTGAAGCAATAAGGACCATATCCAGTTGGATGAACAATCTGTGTACCTATGAATGCAAAGAAAAGAGCTGAATTATGCAATCCAATATTGCTTTTGAAATTTTCATGGTGTATATGTTTCAGATGCACATTAATTAAAATGCAGATACATGCATCCAGGGTTTCATCAATGAAAACTTCAAAATTTAATAATTCTAAGAAATAATAGTGTTTCTATTTCATTGATCAAGTCCTCTATACTGTATAATAATTCCAATGTTCCAATGTGCAAATTTGGGGGTATAAATAAATGGTAGGGGATCATAAAATACAGAAAATGTAATAGACAAAAGAGGGATCTAACAAATAGTGGGGGTTAATAAATGGAGTCAGAAACAAATGACAAAAGAAGTTGTATTGTATTCCACTATATGTCAATGCTGCTTTGGAAATCGCACTATGCACTAGCTAGTTTATAACACAAATGCAAGGGACCAACATATATTTTATACTATATTATATACTAAAATTCACCCACTACATGGCTCGATCAACCCTTAACTTGAATAGATTAAGATCAGTGTTCAGAGAAGCACCCTCATAGGAGTCTGTTCCACAAAGTGTCAGTTCCTGGGAAAAATCCGAGTGGAACTTACTTCTTACGTTTAGAGCATGGAGGAAATGAGGATGAATTGACACCATGGAAGTAACATGGCAATAATGGTCTGAATTTGAGGAACTAAAGAATGGAGCTCATCTGAACATTTACCATGGAAATAGTGATAGAGTAGCAATAGATTTGCAATGTTTTATGTGAGAGAAAAAGACTGCAGTGTGGAAAATAAATCTCTCACAAGACCACATAAATGATTTTGAACTCTATCAGAGCTGAAAAGTGAAGATTGAGCAGTTCCAACACAGATATTGCAGTAATATACCATTTTAATCTAATTTGAGTCTTGTAAAGATAAAGCATAGCAGGAGTCAATTATAATTATGAGCCAACCATTTTTCTAGCATCTTTAATAATGGACTGTATAGGAGTTCTACTTTTGATCTGGTATGAACTTTATACCCAATAGATATTCAAAACATGGAGCTTCATTAAGAGTGCAACCATTCATCATGACTAGAGAAAACGCAGCCTCTCAACAGTGATGATGTAAGGATACTAGCTTGGCTTCGGAGATATCGAAAGTAACAATGCAGTTTTCCCCCATTGAGCTGTTAGAGCTAAGTCAGAGTAGAGATCAGCTGCAAGGCTCTGGGCAGCTTGATTTTTGGAGGTGTGTCCATAAACTGTGGTATCATCTGCATAGTTGTTTGCTAATGATCCAAGAATGTTCCAAGGCAGATCCTTAATAAAAAGCAGAAAGAGAGTATGAGTGAGAAGAGAGCCTTGGGAGATGCCTGCATTGATTTAATGGGATCCAAAAGACTAGCCATTCACAATGACCTTCACAGATCTACCCGAGAAAACTAACTTGATGATTGCGTAGACTCTTCCAGAGATGCTATAGTTGAGGAATTTGTGTAGCAATCCCATATGCCACACTTTATCAAACACTTAAGATGTCTAAGGCAATCCCTCTGCTGAGAAAGCTAACACTTAGGAGGCTCTTTCTGGTGAGGTGATCAACTACTTCCTTGTAGATAATATGTTTGCTAATGACACTAAGAAGACAGATGGCGTGATATTGCAATGGAGATGAATACTTAAAAACAGCTGACAACTTCTACAGATTTGGGAAATATTCTTCTTTCAGGCAGTGGTTAAACCACTTTGCCAGGATTGGAGATAAATGGTTTTTAAGTACAACAACAGGAATTTTATCTGGACTGGTAGCTTTGTAGAACCAAGGTTTTTCATGAGTTTGGAAACTTTCTGAGCTGAGATAGTGAGGTCACAAAGCTTGTACTACATGAGAGGAGAGTCGTCAAGGATGGCCCTGGCCGATTTGGGTGGAATTTGAAGCCAAGTTCATGGCAAAGCGCTTTGCTTTATCAAGATGAAATGACCTTTGGGCCAATTAATAATAATAGTAAGCACAGATGATTTGCCTATTTTAAGGGTGTTGTTAGAAATTCTAGCTTGAACTGACTTTGTATACCTGACCATAGAATTCTCCAGATCTCTTTTGCTCTAGTTGTTACATTTAGTGTATGAAGTATACGTACAAATGTAATAACTCTTATGGGACAGAGATTGTATTAAAAACAAACAAAAAGACACTGGAAAAGAAATTAAAAGCTATTTTTTTTTAATTTACTATGAATCAATTGTCAAGTTTCATCAAAATCCATAAATATTCTTAAATTATCTAATAGATACAGTAGCACAATAAAAAAAAATTCTTATACAAGGTTACACATATACCCAAATTATGAACAAAATATAACAAAACCTTACCTTCAATATGATGATGATAGTTATCAGGGATATGGAAAGAGTCAGATGCAGAAATGTTCTGATTATTGAAAGGCATTTCATTTTCCCCAAAGACTGGAACCAAATTAGAATTCTTGATTTCGGGAGCCACAGGCTGAAACGGTAAGAACTGCTCTGATTGAACAAATGGCACATCAAGAGGACAATTGCTTAGCTTAGTTGAGTCAAAAGTTTTATTCAAGTTGGGAGATTCCAGAGAAGTTTCACATTTTTTCTTTTGTTTTCTTTTTCCTTTGTGCTTTTTGGAACTTAACTTGGATTCTATGGATTTCTCATTGGTCACTAGCTCTTCTTTGTGATTTTTTGCAAAGTCTTCTATTGACTTATCATTCTTATCAACTCTCTTGGTAGTTGTCTGATTCTGAGGCACTTCAAAGCATGAATTTTCTGACCCAACACTTTCACTTGACAATTTAGAAGAGTGTTTCACTTCTTTCTCTTGCTGACAGGATTTTTTTGATTTTACCTTTTTCTTGTGAGATTTAGGTTTTTTCAATGTGGGGGAATAAACAGTGTCTTTAGAATCAGTTTTTTGCTCTTCCTTCAGCACAAGTTTTGATGATGGTTGTGGAATCTTTGATCCAACTGGCTTCCATTTCATCTGTACTTTATCTCTCTCAGTGATAGCAGGAAGAATCAGATTAGCTTTCTTTATTTTGTTTTCATTCTCATCTTTCTCTTTCTTCTTTTTGGCTTTACTCGATTCTTCATCATCTGAGCAAGATGAATAGTCAGCCACAAGGCTGCAATTGTTACGATTCAACACAGAGACATTTAGAATTTTTTTTTGTCCACGAATAGAGGTACCAGCTGTGCAGGTCTGTCGTACTGCTCGGGGAAACATGGTCTCTCGTTTCTCTTTGGCACTAAGGGATTTCTGTGATATTTTTGCGGAAGATTTACTGGTACAAGCATCGGAGCTCTTAGATTTCTTGTTTTCAGTCTTTTTGATCTGGAATGGCTAAAAAAGTAAAAGATAATAATTAAAAACAAAATCTTCAGTAATAATAAAAATGCTAAGTTTTAAATGGAAACTTAGGCATTAAAATCATTTTTCTGTATTGTCAAATATACAAATATTAGAAACCCATTTCATTAATATAAGTGATTATATACTCAGGGAAGTAAAAATTAGAAAATTTGTACTTCTGTAATCAAGGTTCTTGTAGATGTAAAAACTGCCAATCAAATTATGGCAAAGTTTTAACAAATATGCCCCTGGAAAATAATGTGTCAAAAAGGACAATTTTTCTTGACTTTCTTGTATTACTGTACACTCCTTCTTTGCTATTGTGTTTATCTAAATTTTCTTGTTCTATAGTCCAGATATCTTTATAAATTCATGAATAAAACAAAATTGTCTTAACTTTTAGCACAGTATTATTACTTCCCTTTCCACGGCATTCTTTTTCAAGGCTTCTCAATTGCAGAAACCTTATTGTTAATTTCACTCAAAGTTGTTTTCTGTTACCATAGCAGGATATGACAACACAACTATGAAATTCAAACACACTATTGTTCAGGGATCAGGATAAATTTTTTGTACAGCAAATGAAGTCACATACAGAATGATAAAGGTTAATAGTTATTTCTTTATAATATGTAAATAATAAACATTACATTGTAGTTAGTTCATGTATATTTTTATAATCTTGTAAATATAAAATTATTCATGTAAATAAATAATCTAATAAATAGTAAACGTTTTTGCTGTCAATTCACAAGAAAAAAAATATAAATCCAGTCTCATAGGTTTAGGTTTTATTAAAATTATAAAAGTAACTTTTTAAAACAATTAAAATTAGAGGGAATATACAGTAATAGAAGTGTCAAGAGAAAAACCGTCCTTTTGACAAACCATTTTTTTGCAGGTTAGTTTATTAAACTTTGCCTAACTTTTCTTCAAGTGGCAAGATATTGATATGCAAAGTTAGTTGACATTTTTTTCTATAATCCTCAATTTAAATCTTTAAAGCTGAAAGCGCCCAAATGCACCTGCAAGTTTCACACACTTACAATCCAGGATTGATTGAATGTGCCCACAACTGCATAGATTTGTATTTCAATACACAGCATTAACACCAGTCATATGATCAACTAGAGGCTCAGAAATCTACAGATTTCCAAAACCATATCTTATAACCAGTCGTACCAAGGGGGGTTAATTCTCTTTTATCATCGATTTTTTAATAAGTGGAAAAAAAAAAAAAATCTTTTAAATCATACTTAGGGCCCCCGATTTTCCATTTCAAATTTTCCTTGATTTCATTTCCACTTTTGGTAAATTGCTTTTTCCGTTTTTACTTTTGGGAAATTTCATTTTTCCATTTTATAGTATTTTATGAGAAAATTGCAATAAAATATGCTGTAATTATTAAAACTGAAAACAAAAACATAATTCGAAGTTTTATTGCTACAAAGAAATAGCAAATATCTACAAATCTTTTTTTTAAATGTTAAAATCCAAGTCCAAAAATAAATTATATGTAAAAATAAAAAAAATGTAACATGACTAGACAATAAAACAATGGAATGTTACAGTGCATAATTCTTTGAGGTAGAACTTTTAATCAGAGCTTCCTCCTTTAAGAACATTCAAAACACATTCAAAATTGTTTTTGTTTTTTTAAGTGATAGTATTTCAATTGATTTATAATTATTGATTCATAAATTGAATCTTTGTTACAAAATGTCAAAAAACAAAATATCAAAAAGAAATTAGACATCAAACAGGTAAGCTGCCTTGTAAAAGTTATACACAGGGTGGTATCCAGGTATTGTTTCGAAAAAGATGAGCTGAAAAAAAATCTTGGAAATTTGAGATAACTCTCTCCCTTTCTCTGTGCTTTCTAGTTCAGACATAAGACAATCAGTTTCTAGGCCAAATGTTGAGTTTGATGTACCAGTATGCAAATACTATTTTACATGCTCCACCATGTTATATAAAACACATGCAAGCAGAGACTTAGTTTCTTCTAAGTTTGTCAAAGCTTTTATTAAATAAATGCAGTTCTCATTTATAAAATGCAGATTTAGACACAAATTATGGTAAGAGGCGTGATGTAGTTGACATTCATTTACTAATTCTAGAATCCTATCAACTACAAAGCCATGGCTCTTTTCTTGCCTTCAGAAAACTGTACAAAGGATGAGTGATATTTGACTGCATTAAGCCAGGAATTCCATCTGGTTGCCACTGGTACAGGGAATAGTTTCACTTCTTCCTTAGGTAAGGAACCGTCAAGCCATTTTAAGTATCGCTTTTTCTGACTAGGCTTTTTAAAAACGGCTGACGATGAAAGTAGTCAGCTAAGTAATATTATCAAATGCTGACCAGTGTGAAAATACTTCACCAACAGGATTTAAAATATGTGCTAAGCACAACACATGACAACTGTTAACAAAGACATTTGACAATACTTCCTTATGAACTTTTTTTTTTGCAATAGGCTGCAAAATCTGTTACAAAGGCAATAATATCCTCAAATGTAATATCCACATGAGTTACAGCGCAGATTCAAGCCTAACTTACAGTTTGATGATTGCATTCTCCCAAGGTTACAACATCAATGAGAAATGACTCCCCACGAATGCTTGCAATTACATTCAAAATGCTGTAATCATGATAGTTGTTTCATCTCTTAATATGCTAACTGATTAGCAAGCTTGGCTTTCAGGGCAGCAAAGTGAGAAGCAAACAATTCTGGTAGATGAAGTTGCCTGACACAATTGACACTTGGATCAGCACCACCTTCTTTACAATGCTTTAATATGAATGGCCTCATTTTGTCAATTTTGTGTAGGAGAATGTCTGACAAAGTGCACATTTTCAAAAAATCAAGGACAAAATCATCTCGTACATCTTTACTCTTCAACAAAGTTGTGATTGCCTTCTGTTTCAGTTAAGCAATCTTTTTTTTAAGATTCTTATCAAATGAGTTTTTGATTTGAATGTGATCTTTGATTGTGTCAACCCTAAATATGTCAACACTATGGAGACAGAATTTGCAAAATTTTCTTCTGCATAAAAGTCATCAGGAAACTGCTCTACTTTGGCCTTAGCACAAATTTTAGATACTGAGGTCATTTTCTTTTTTAGGAGCAGACCCAAATTTAGAAGTTGATTCACTATATTGACTTTATTCAGTCATCTTGGCAATTTGTTGCTTATTCATACAACTAAGGAGGAACAGTGGATAATGGCTCAGATTGAGGAATCCTGGGAGCTGAGTTCGAATTCCAGTCAAATCCATTACATTCACTTACATGCTAATACCCTTCAGAAATGTATGAAACCTCTTCTCCCACAGCTATGGGGAAATAGCAGGACAGACCGGGTTCTATAGCCTTGAATGGCAACTGGACTACTGCAGAAAGAAATGAAAACCTACTGCAGGAAAAAAATGCCTCATCAGTGATGTATCAAAAGATACATGATCGCTTAAGAATGCATCACACATGGCACATAACTGACCAAGTTTAGATTACAAAATATAAATAAAATATGAAAAAAATAATCATTGATAGTTAATATTATTAAAGGAAGTTTTTTTTTGTTCAATTTAAATTTGTTTACAATAGTAAAATATCAAACAATTAATTTGTGATTTATTATTAAAAATTACATTAAAAACCCCGATTTCATTTAGGATTAACAATTCCATGATTCCGTCCATGATTCTGTAATCTCAGAAAATTTCTTCCCCAACATACCACATCTTAATTTAACCCATAAATTTCCAGGATTAATTATAAAGCTTAAAAATCCAGTATTAATTATAGGTTTCTACTTACAATCCATTAATGGTCACTGTTCAATTTTTGAAACAATGGGCTAAAGATCTTAATTTTTTAATTCTATGAATTTTCGTTTAGCAGAATTTAAACCCATTATTACCAATATGGCACAGAAGCACTTAACCAGTTTATCAGTTAAATATGAAACAATCTGAATATGTTCACTGTTCCTTACTTCATAGATTTGCTATTTGAAAATGCAAGGAAAACAAATTCAGGAATGGACAAAGTAAAAAAAAAAAAACAAGGAAAATATTAATATAGATATTTTCTAGATAGAAAAAAAAAAAGATGACACTGAAAATGTTTCTTGAGATTTATACATCATTCTGAAACAAGATATTCTTGGTTCTGGAAAACACTCAAATTATGTCAGAAATTAATAATATCAGAAGCAGCTAGAATTGAACAAAGCTCATGAAATTTAATTTTCAATATTGAATTTGTTCTCAAATAAATTGTGCCATACAAATCTTGTATTTATATATATATATATATATATATATATATATATATATATATATATATATATATATATACTATAAAAAAACCAAATGAGCACAAATTCTCTTAATGAAACGTATGTGTTCCGATTTCAGACTATGGACTGAAACTAGATACTAAAAACAAAAACAGAATTTTGATCTGTCAATCGCAATTTTGTTTTTTAACCAATTTCATAACTTAAAATCCCTGTTCAAATCTGTATATGATTTCTTTAATCTAACGTCAACAATTCCTAGTGCCACCTGGTGATAAAATGAAGAACTATATGCTTTTAAAATGAAAACAGGCTTTCCATTTTGTAGTCTTTGGCTGTTTATTGTTTCTTTGGTACTACTTAAAACTATGTTTGATTTTAGTACCCATAATCTGTAGACTAATTAATGAATAGACTACAGAGTCTATAAATTATTAAGTCAGCTCACTAATTTGAAATCTTATTTCTGGGATTTAGGAAGAGTTTACTTAATCACTTCTTCCCCGCACCACCAACACCAAGAATAAGCTGTTTTAGTCACTTTTACTAGAAAATATTCATAGGGGAGAAAAAAAATGTGCAAATTATTAACTCCAAGAAGAGATGGCCAACCTTTCATTTGTTTTGTCACTTTTTCTTTGCACAAGTTTATAATTGACTGATCAATTTGCTGTTGTTTTTTTTGGGTTTTTTTTACAGCTTCACAGGTTATTTAAAGCCAGAAAATATTTTCAGTTTGTGAAGAAATTTTTGGAAATAATAATGATTTACTGATACATTCAAGTTCTACTAATTAATCCATAGCTTGGGGATGAAATGGTGGATTCACGCCTTTCTCAAGGGTATTTGCACACAAGTGAACATAATGAATCCAATTGGAATTGAAACTCGGCTTTCCAATTTCCAATTCTGAACAGTTATCCATTACACCACCCAAACATCCCAACTTACAGCACCTTGTATTAAGCAGTCACCCACGGTACTGACTAAGCTCAATGTTGCTTAACTTCAAGGATCGTAGAAGAACCGATGTTTCAACATGATATGGCTGTAAGCTGACAAAAGTTCAGATATGCCATATAAATCATGTATTTATATACTTAGCATTTATATGTAATTTGCTGGTTTAATATAAAAACAAGACTTTTCTTAATGAGACTTATGTTTCTTGATTTCACTAAATTCAAACTTTAATTACAGAGAACAGAGAATTCTTTAAATTTTGATCTCTCAATTGTAATTTTTGTTTTAATCAATTTCATGGCTGACAATGCTTGTTCACATCTGTACATCATGCAGAAGTGGTCAATATAATTTTAAGCAAATTTTCTTAGCTCTGCAAAATGTCCAAGATAGATGCAAGATATACTATTTAAAATTTTTAAAAATACCAAACACATGACTGGTTATTTTTTTGTTTTATATTTATGCTTTCTTATAATATAAAAATATGTATGTGCACAAATATGGCAGTTTATTAAATTTCAAGAAAATAGACTCATTTTTTTTAAATTTCTTTATAGACACTAACTGGATTTACATGATTATGCTTTACAAAAGATATCTAAAAAGTCTCTCCAGAACACAGCCATTGTGAATCTCCTAGGAACTGGTTGCACACCCTTAGTATAACTTGGTAACCAATCAGAGGAAACCTTACTGCACATACATGAACTCTCTCACAGGGTTACTCAACCAGCAGCAGGATGGCAAAGAGTGAGATTGTGTACTGTGTGACATGTTCACAATGACTGAGCAAGTAAATTCTTTACATTTTATCAACATTTTTTGTGGCAAAACAACATATCACCCAGGCCCAGCATCACCTACTACTACTATAGTTCAGATTTGACTTACTGCTCCTTCTAGCTTTCCCCAATACCAAAAATACCATTGAAATACAGATTCAAGAGAAATTGACAAAGTAGTTGATTGTTATCTCAAAAAAGGACATGGCAGATGTTTTGAAAAGTCATAGTGATGAAGAACTAGAGTGTGAGATATGAAGGGGAGTGCTCTGAAGAGGACTAAGCCACTACTGCTCAAAGTAAATTAATTGTTAATGCTAACATTTAACACTCTGCCTCACTTATAAATATTACTTCCCCTTTTATTGTATATGGAATCCCCTCAAAATATAGTGTTTTATATATTAGTCCTATATATTTGAAATTGCAATAGCCTAGCTCTCAATTTCAGTCAAGATTGTTTTAAGTGTTACCATCGAAGGTTATGACTACACAACCAAGAAGTTCAAATTCAACTTGCATTAGCAGGACTAATATTTTGCTTGGTGAAAATAGTCACATACAAAGTGCTAAAGGTTGTTAATGGATGGGTACTTTCTAGACAGACCACATATAAAATCTGGAACCTATTTAGATATCTCAAACTTAATTCTTATTTAAAATAGGCTATACTTATCACACAAGTAAAATACGATTTAAAACCATTGTATTATTTTATGTATCACATCACTTCAGGACGTAGACAATAATGGCTCTCTACAACCTTCTGTCCTTTGCAGCTTTTAGTAATATTTATCTTTTACCATTCCTTCCATTCCCCCATTCTACCATCCATTTGCATAAGTTTGTCAGATTGATGGCCTACTGACACCCACCTCTCTTTTGCTTTTGATATGTTCTGTGAGTGCAAAATTTTCCAAGCCCTCCTTCCTCATTAGTAATCAAAAAAATTTCAGCTCTTTCTGATTATAAATCTTCTTTTTGTTTCCATTCTCCTTACAACTTCATTGCTTACACACTCCATCCACAGTATTCACAGTATCCTTCTATAGAACCACACTTCTGTTACTTCACATCTTCATCTAGTCACTGCCATATAAGAGAATTAATATTACACAAAATGTGTTTTAAAGTTTTCTTCAGTAAATTTGTAGCAATAAATGACAATTAAAATTTCTATTTTAAATTTTTAAAATATTGTTATATTTTGTCCAAACTGTCCATAAATAAATAATTGCTTTATTTACACAGTTTTAAAATGCAACCTTTAAGAAAATATAAGAAAATGATTTAAAGTGTGTAATATCCATTGACGAAACAAGTCTTATTTAAAATAGGATTCAGCTTGCAGTGTTCATTCAGTTGGTCAGCAATATAAATTTTAATACACCAGACCAGACTATTTTGAATGAAATGATTTGCATGCACCTTGAGGTGAATGCAAAGACATGAAACCAACTGATTATTAAAGACAAGACATTACTCTACAAGGAGGTATAAATTTCATTTTTTTTAAGTGCTGAATTTCTCCGTTATTTCATCCAGTAAATTTTTGATTTATAAATTTACTGTGAAAGCTAACTTCAAACCTTGAGGGCTTTCCCACCAAACTGACAAGCACTAACTTTTCTTTAAAATGGGACAATTTTGATATGTGTAAACAAGAAATTGTGCAGTGCAACTAATTTGAAAACAACACTATGGGCGGAAAATAGCTGTTAGTTATTGAAATAGTGATATAATTTAAAGAGATGTGGAATAAAAACAATTCTTTCCCATGTATGATGATTAGTATCTTTAGAAAGTGGAAAACTTTGTTCATATATTAAAATGGCCTAAAAAAAAACAAAAAAAAAAAACAAAAAAAAAAAAAAAACAAATGTGATTTCAACATGTGTTCACACTGTAAAATAGGGCTGTTTGGGACACCTATAAGCTAACCCCTATATTCAAATGATGAACAATTCACAACTCCTATTGAAAAATACTGTATTGAAAAGTCTGATAGGCAATAATAAAATATGACCGTGTTGTCATCTTGCAATAAAGTGTCTGAAATTTTTTTATAATCATGTAATGTGAGAATGTTCACAAATTGAAATTGTAAAACAACTTAAAGTGAATATTGGAATATTGGTTCATATTATATGTCAACTCACCACACATGTGGCTCTCCCCCCCCAAAAAAAAATTTACCCACCCCAGGTATATAATGACACATTTTAATTATTTTCTTATATATCCACTGTGGTACTTTCTAGCCATCCGAGAATATGTCATATTTGGAATGCTAAGTCTGCATAAGAATTCAAATAAATCAGACGTTTACTACAATTATCGTCATACTAGTAAACACATGGTAAAAAATAACTGTATATTAGTCCTTATTAATGTCAGGTTTTGATGGGGCTTCTTATATATGTTTTTTCACTTCACAATTTCACAAACATCTTAGAAAAGTCCATCATTGGTGGAACTCGTTGCCAAGTATTGGGGTGCTCATCTACATTTCCTTTTGGGGATAGCGAACTCTGGCTTTTCTTTGGACTCTCTTCATCTCTTCTACTTGTCTTCGGGTGTTTTGAAAGTATTTTTTATTGATTTTTCATGGACTGCTATTCTCCAATTGGTTTTTTCTGCAGCTTCCATCTCCCAATTCACCAGACTCTCCTCAGTAAATCAACTACTATCATAAAGTCACAGCTATGTGGCATTACCATTGTTATAAAAAATACTACTACCTGGTGTCATTCTAGTAAAGCTAGAATTTGAACATTACTAACAAAAGTAATTTACAAATACACTTGGCATAGAATAAATTGTATATAACTCTAATGCATCTTAAACTGTAAAAATGTTTTAGAAACAATTGTAAGTCAAGAATGTCTAATACCTCTTCATCAGTTGGCAGTAGCCAAGTTGTCCTGCCAGTAGTTTTATGGAAATAATAAAATTTCCCTGGATATGATTTAGATTCCCGTTTCAGCCACCCAGGGGGCAGTTTCTCCTTTTTTTTGGGCATTGTCCTTCTTCAGCACATGAAACACCAACACCTTAAATGAAAAATAAAACAAAAAAAAAAAAAAAAAACATCCATAAAAATTTCACAGTGCATTTTCACAATTTAAGACTAAAATTAATTTATACATTTTAATAATACAAAAAAAAAAAAAAAAATCAAGATTCAAAGGAAGACATTTAAATTACTCAAAATGCATTATAAAATTTTCTTCAGTAAGTTTGTAGCAATAAATGATCATTAAAAGTTCTATTTTAATTTTCTATGGACAAACAATGAACCAAATTGAAAGAACTCAAAATATACCCAGTTTATTTTTTATTTATTACTTCAGTTAATTTTTTTTAAAGAAAATAAGAATAGCTGAGGCAACAAATAGTGGTTTATGAATTAAAACAACAAAAAAAATCACTAATAAAGTCCTTTCAAAATATTCTTATTATACTTTGCACTTTACAACCACCCTACCCCAAATTTAATTCACCATGAATTTAGCATGGGTCAAGTAACAAAAATGTTCAAATTTATATTATTTACAGTGTAGTGAAAGCAAACACAGTTGTCTACCCTTCAAACTACTTGACCATAAAATAAATGATCAGCACTCACTTATGGCAGTAGTCAAATTGCATTGCATAAAGCTTCATTACAAGCTTGAATATACGCCAGTTTTTCTTTACACACCACAATTGCAACTTACTTTAAACTTAAACTGGTTCAGTTAGCGTTCCAGTGTGCATCCCAAAATGCCCTGGTTTTACAGTGCAAAGACATGTCAAAATATGAATTTTCTTTTTCCATTTCAACTGCTGATAATTTCGTTTATTTCCCAGACAATTTTGATAAAAATATTATGTAAACAAAGTTTCTTTCCTATTTCTAAAGATACAATTCTTTTTCATGTATGAGTATTGGTTTTTATTTCACTTCTCTTTAAATTATGTCACTATTTCAATAGTGAACAGCAATTTTTCATATTTTCAAAATTAACAATTCTTTAGTAGTGATTTCAAATTAGTTATGCTCCAAGTTGTTTTTGTTTGCATATCAAACAAAAAAATAGTCACATCTTCAAGAAGAAAAGGACACTTGTCAGTTTGGCAGGTGAACCATAGAGTTCGAAGTTACCATTCACAAAAAATTTCTAAATTGAATATTTGTTAGATGAAAAATACTAGAGAAATTCAATACTTAAAAAATTAAATTTACATGTCCTTCTAGAGCAATGTCTCCTTTTTAATAATCAGTTGATTTCATCTGAGCCCACACGACTTGAGGTGCATGCCAATTAAAAAGAGGGTATATACGGAATTTATTTTGAGCTAAACAGTCAGGTCCGGCAAATCGAAATTTGTAGTGCTGACTGAGTATTAAACATTGACCCAGCTGAATACCTTTTTCCTTTAAAAAAATAATAATCAGACTTGTTTCATTAATGGATTATTATTTTTTCTTTATCCATTTTAAAACTGAATAAAACAATTATTTATTTTTAAAATAAAATTCAAGTGGACAGTTTGAAGAAAATAAAAAAAATATATTATTTTCTGTCTAAACTGTCAAATCGAATTGTTGTTTTTCATCTAAAAAAATTGACTAAAATAATGAATAAAAAATAAACTGGGTATATTTTTAGTTCTTTAAATTTTACTCATTCTTCTCGTTTGTTCAGAGAAAATTAAAATAGAACTTTAATTGTATTTTTTTCATATTTAATGAAAGTATTGCTACAAACTTACCGAAGAAAACTTTAAAACACATGTTGAAGAATTTAAAAAGAAAATGTCTCCTTTGAAGTTAAATTCTGTTTTCATTTGAAAGATAATAATAGCCTTAAGCTAATTTAGGTACCATCATGAGATTGCTAAAAAGAGTATAGCATGACGAAAAAGACGCCAAACTTGACGAAAACAAAACCTTATCATCTAAATGTTAATAGAGGAAAGATCAAAGTATTTTTGGAGTATTTTTTTACATTTTTTAATTGTTCCTAGCACGTCCAAAATTTTCGTTAAAAATCTTGTTTTCTTTTAGTCAGCAAAATTGACAGATAATCAATCCTGTCAAGCATTTTTTTCCATTTTATAAAAAAAATGAAAATCTCAGTTTGAAATTCTTTAAAAATCAATTATAATTTTTTCAACACTTATTTTAAGAAAATCAGAAATTATAATGTTTATTTAAAATATTTTGAAACAAGCATTACTTAGTTTCTGCACCAAAAAGATGTAGTTTGAAAATAAAACAAAGCAGGTCATAACATTTCGCGTCACTTGACATGTTACAAAAGACATTTTCATGATGTATTGATAGCTTACGTGAGGATAATTAATTTGAATAACCAAATTAATTTTCCTTATTAGCAATATAAATATGAGGTTTAACAATAACATTATTTTGAAATGTGACTTTTCAAAAGAAAAAAGGAACAAGTTTACTTTCAGGATTTATTCACAAATGAATTAAATCATTTCTGAAATGTTTTTTTTTTTTTTTAGAAAATCTTGTTAAAGATTTTTTTTTACGTTACCCCCATACACGCACACATTTATTTTATGAATTTTAGAGAAATTCTTTTTCATATTGCTTAAATGCGTATATTAGTTATACAAGTCCTTATTTAAAAATTTAAATAACTTCTTTTTTATCAAACAGGACCCTCAGTTACAGAAAATCTGCTCTGAATCATAAAATAAAAAAAAATAAATAAAAATGTTTTTAACTGATTTCAATGAAAATAGTTCTTGTAGGATTCATTATCGAAAAATCTTTTTTCCTTAAAACAATAGAGTCCATAATACATTTTATTCTTGAAACTGTTTTCATTTTTTTTTTTTTTTAAATTTTAATTAGAATATTGATCTACTGGATGAAAGGTGTTGAATTGGCTGTGGGAGTAGCTTCCCCTTATTATTCCTTGAATTTTCCACAGAACGATGCATAATGTCCCTTTTTCTATTCTTCTCAAAAATGAAATACTTAAAGCAAATTAATAAGAGTATTGTAAAAATCTAAAATTAGACTGACTCCATTTCAATCCTCAATTTAAAATATTTTTTTAGAAGGCGGGAAAATGTCTTAGATTAAAAACACGAAATTAATGTTAAAAGTAAACCAATGTAATTCTTGGAAGTTTAAGAGTAGATATACCAACTTATTCGAAATAAAATATTTTGTAAATTAATACATGGTTTAAGGAAGATGCAAATTCAAATCTCATAAGAATTTTCACTTTCATATTTAGATTCCGAGTGATTAATGGTCGTAGAATTAAAAAAAATATATATCTGAACGTTGAATAAAAATAAAAAAGCAGCAAAAAAAAGTAACATTAAAAGTCATTCATAATATTTAATTTAATTTAACAATGACATGAATTCATCTCAAAATTTCAATATTCCTTTCGGAACCAGTTTTTCGAGAAGTTTTCTCAGGACACCAGTCCAAAAAAAAAAAAAAAAGCTAATCTCAGAAATTCAGGCGAAATTTTACAAAAACTTCCTCAAGTAATACAGTAAAATAAAATACCAGTGCCAAACTGTCGTTAGATTTTTCTTAAGAAAAATAAAAAGCTCAAAAAATACAAGCGCAGTCCCGCCTCTAGCCATTAAGTGAGGTCTGCTTTCTGTCGCCCGTATATATATACGAAATGAAAATTAATTATTATTTCCTCGATTGTCTTGAAAGTGTTTTCTGGTTTTTAGGATAAATTTAAGAGTAAGACAAATTAAACAGGTCAATGTTTTTTTTTAAAAAAAATGTGTAAATTTAAAAAGTTCAAATATGGGAATATAAGTTTCATTTTTTAGTCATTTTCAGTAAACAGATAAAAAAAAGGTTTAATTCACACAAAAATATAACTAAAATCAGAAATTCCTTGTAGTTACCTGATAGAGGAATTCAGAAAGCTACTTGCTTGAGTCACGTATCTTTCTGAATTAAGTAACTTGACTAATGAAAACTTGACTTGCTACTGACTGAAAACATTTGGAGAGGATGCTCAAAAACACATCAAATTACTAACGGGCGCAGGGTATGGAAGATTAGAGAAAATTTCTGAAATTAATACTTTGGCTAAATTCTACAAAAAGAAACTCACTCCCAAAAATGAAATGACACTCTAGAAATGTGTTTAACGGTATTTAAAAAAAAAAAAAGTTGTCTTGACTAGCGTTTCGGCGTTTACTTACTCACCTCCCCGCAAAGACAATGACATGAATAAACAATTGACAAAAAAAGTAATCTTAGCGGAAGTCTGATTGACTTATAAAAATCACAATATTTTGACAAGTATAGGTCAAACCTCCATAAAAAATTGCGTTAAAAAAAAAAAAAAAAATAATACTAATCAACTAAATTGGATTTTTTTTTTGGTTAAGTCTAGGAGAGAATCGGGGCCATAATTCCCATGGGCAAAATGGAGAGTTAAAAATAAAATTTAATTGTTTATAAGTTATATAACAATATCGTTTATGGTTTTATCTTCAAATACATTTTTTTTATTCTTCTCGAAATAATATAATTCAGATTACCGTACGTGCGGATGTTTGTTGGTTCCTTTTTCTCTGAGAAAACGCTTTTTAGATGTAGCCAGATATTTTCTATTGTTTGAGTTGAGTATAAAAAAAAATTAACCTTTTTAATTTCTTCTGAAAGATTTTTTTTTTTTTCCTACAGCTGCTTTAATTTAAAATTTAGGACATAACTTTTTGGAACCCAAAAAGTCATATTGTTGCAACAATCTTCATGAGTTTTTTTTTTATTCTGCAATTAACTTGCTTTCTTTCAAAAAAAGTTTAAAACAAAAAAAGAAAAAAGGTATTAGCAAATTTTCTACTTTCATTTTTGGGTATGATTCGATTCTAATTAAAAAGAATAATTTATTTTTTAATTTGATAAAAACACCCTGGATTTTATGAATTATTTTTTTTTTACAACACTGATTCCTAACCAATGAGTTATATGTCCACTGTTTTCGCGGAAAAACAGCATAGCGTAAATGA